TGCCTGGCTTCATTAGTCCTTTTTATACGCCCTGCTTGAAAAGCAGGAGGGTATTTATTAATCATGATGTCCGTCCATCTGTTTGTTACGTTACAGGTATACCCATCTCTTATCCACAACTCCTCTTACACCACTGAATGAAATTTTCATAGAATCTTTATTAAATATTGCCGTTGTGCACCTTCTATTACTTTTTCATCCTACACATATTTTGGGTTTCCCATTGCAAAAGATAGACACTGCCATTATATGAATTCATATTACAGGCGGTTGACCATTTATATTATTCACTGCTTACAGTACCTCTAGTTCATCTACAAATTTGTAATTTTTTTTCCTTGGCAGCTTTACCCATGTGTTATGAAAATTTCAGTGTCACAGGAATGATATCAATGTTGATAAAATGTGGATTTTCACACAGCATCCTTTTAAAAGCTAACAGATTTGTTATATAAAACTTCTCTGTGAATGAAAATGTATTTCAATTACACGAAGTCAACATTATACTTGGAGTACGTCAGAAGTTATATATTTTTATTACTGTGAAGAAAAAAGCAATACCAAGTTAAAAACAAATATTTAAATACCAAACAAAAAAATAGTGGTATATGTGATGGTTTGTGTGCGTACAAATTATTAATTATTAGCAGATATGTAATTGAGGTTTTCCTTTCACTTAGAAAAAATATATATACAGTGAAAACTGTCTAATCCGACACCTGAATAATCCGACACACTGTGAATTCTGAAGTTAAAATTCTTTCCAATTTGAGCATTTTCCTTGTTTTTAACACTGTGGAAAACAAATATTTAAATACCAAACAAAAACATAATAAGTTTTATATAACAACATTATACTTGGAGTACGTCAGAAGTTATATATTTATATAACTGTGAAGAAAAAAAAAGCAATACCAAGTTAAAAACAAATATTTAAATACCAAACAAAAAAATAGTGGTATATGTGATGGTTTGTGTGCGTACAAATCATTAATTATTAGCAGATATGTAATTGAGGTTTTCCTTTCACTTAGAAAAAATATATATACAGTGAAAACTGTCTAATCCGACACCTGAAAAAGCCGACACACTGTGAATTCTGACGTTAAAATTCTTTCCAATTTGAGTATTTTCCTTGTTTTTAACACTGTGGAAAACAAATATTTAAATACCAAACAAAAACATAATAAGTTTTATATAACAACATTATACTTGGAGTACGTCAGAAGTTATATATTTTTATTTCTGTGTAGAAAAAAGCAATACCAAGTTAAAAACAAATATTTAAATACCAAACAAAAAAATAGTGGTATATGTGATGGTTTGTGTGCGTACAAATTATTAATTATTAGCAGATATGTAATTGAGATTTTCCTTTCATTTAGAAAAAATATATATACCGTGAAAACTGTCTAATCCGAACCTGAATAATCCGACACAAATAATAAATAATTCCTATGTTAAAATTCTTTCCAATTTGAGCATTTTCCTTGTATTTAACACTGTGCAATCTGACGCCCTGTGTATTCCCACACAAAATTTGTCTCCCAGTGCATGTCGGATTAGACAGGTTTCACTGTATGTATACTTCATTTTTTTGCTTTAAATCGCGATTCTACGAAAACATCGGTGTCCGTTTTTTGGTTTTTACATTTATAACAAAATACTAGATTTACCGCTTTTTGGCCAGTCAAACTGCTGATTTAGTAATAAATACGCATGTTTCCTAACCTTTTGTGCGTTAATGAATTCATTTAATCCAAGAAAATGTTAGTGAAAAGTTTTAATAAATTCTGTGCACCGAAGAAATTGCTAAAATTCTAAAATCCGGGACCGTCGGAAGTTGGGCGGACTGAATTTACTGCTTGCTGTCAGTATGCAGAGTTGTCGTTTGTATCTCTTTCAGTGTTTATAGATGACGCTACACTAAAAATGAGTTCTAATACGTAAAACGTTTTAGGTACTTTATAATTTAGTATTTTTGAACGAAATGTAATATTCAAAATAAGTTTTCTTTATCATTACATTTACATACATTTTAAATTATAAAAAATTAGATCAATTCAGGAGAAACTGACATGAACTATTTGTGGCGGATGATTATGCATGTTTTCTGTATAATCGGAGTAAATCGGTCGACACAGTAGCCTCGCTTTCGGCTCTATGTAATCAACACAAATTATGGCGCATGTTAAATGCGTGATCACCAAGGGAGATTTAACATAGTTCAACTCCCAAAAAGTGACTGCGACAAAGGAGCGAACAAGCATCATGCGATCACATTACAGCTATTTATAGCAAAATAGACTTAATTAAAAATCTAACAGAACAACACTATGATGGGGTTTAATAAATTCTCTGAACTTCTACCTAATATATATTTTAAAACTTTTATTATGCCTACAAAGTCCTGCTATAATCTCATTGTTGAGTGGGTGAAAAAATTATTCCATACATTCGATTTAGACCTAATCCAATGTTTGGATTTTTTTTTCTCATATAACTCAGATTTGACCTCAAATTATGCCTACCAATCGATTATGACAGCACTTTCCAAATAAATTAGAAGCGAAGTTTTCGATCTGTGCAAATCTTATGTTTAGAAATGCCTGCTTTGTTTTGTTCTTTCGCATTATTTTTGATAGGATTGACAGACTAGGACGACCGAGATACATGAATAGCTGAATGTCCCAAAAATGAAAAAAAAATTGCATTGTATTAGAAGTTAGATTATTAGATATTAATGAAATATTCAATAACATCCCTAAATATCTATATCATAAAAACATATGTTGTAAAATTGACGTAATTTCGCATTCTATGACGTTATCAGGTATCAATAGAGTCAAGCAGGAATATCTTATTGTTTTTAACACACCTGTGTAAACATTGAATTGTTGCAAGATTATCCTTTAAATTCGTCTTTATGGCACCTAATCCCTACTCTGATGCTTTAAAGGTCCGTGATAGCCCTGTTTCTAAATTGTTTTGTTAAATGGACTTCTGATCTTGTTTGCTATCTCAATAAATGCCATCATATCAAAATGTCTTTCTCAGAAAAAAGGCTATAAAATGAATATATTTTTGTGGATATAAAAGTGATACGTCATTGTTTATTTTTAAAACTCACGGAGGAAATGAAATCTAGAAATAAAATGATATGATACGAGGGGCATTTCAAAAGTCCTGAGAACTGTTTAATAAAAAATTAACCATTTTAAAGAAATTATTGAGTTTGATATCATTGGAAAGATAAGAAAAATATACACATATTGTGACGTCACTTTATAATTTTTATGATGTAATATCTCCAAAAATGACGTCAGAATATAGAATGTTTAGCATACTGAAAACTCGCGTTTTTATCCACATGGCACAATTTTAAAAGTGCTGCCAAAGGCTTATTTGAAAATATATTTCAAAGAAAATTTTCAATTGCAAAGAAGTAGAGTAGGACTATAGTATACACGTATCCACTGGGTATGAGTGGGATAGCTCTTTTATCAAACCCGTGACAGAGAACTATTCCCCGAGGACTTGCCGGAGGGGAATAGATCCTGTCAAGGGTTTGATAAAGAGCTATCCCACTCACAAACAGTGGATAATTGCTTTATAATACTGATGTATAATATAATTTTTGCGCTTTGAATTCTTTTGGAGAAAGATAATACTGCAAGAATAATCTGAAAATCTGATGACGTCACAATGCTACTGAATTCATTATGACATCATCAGACAATAGATTTATCGCTGTAAATCAAAATTGGCGGCAAAAATTGCATGAAAATTTTCCGAGGGTGGATAGCAAAAACTATACCCCGGGGTATAGTTTTGCTATACGTAGACTGTAAAAGATAGTTATTTTACTTTCTGAACTTTATATAGGAAACATTTTAACAGAAGTATAATAATACTGTTTATCAACAATACTATATTTCATTGTTTGGTTTGTTAACTAGCGCGGTTTATGTCCGGTTATGCTATCATCGACATTCATCCAAGATTTCAAGTTACATGATTCGACTGGATTTTCGGTTTTTATATACTCCTCTATTGTATTAAATAAAACAATTTCTGTATAAAACTAAAGTATGTTAATGCAGTTTTCAATATATTTTGAGTAACAGTACTCTTACCGTTTACAAATAAAATGTACAAAAGTTTTGGCCTTGACTTGGTTCTGTGCGTATTTTTCTCATTAATTCAACTTCGGCGCCCCAAAACTCAGTAATGCTTTTGACTTTTGACTCCATAAACGGTTTATAAATAACATAGACATGAAAAATCTTATTTAAATCCCATGAATTAATTTTCGTGAATATGTGGAGGTACGGCGGGGTTACAACTGCGCCCGCGCCATTTTAGATTTTACGAGAAAATACGGGGCACACTAAACTTAACTTCTCTTGAGCCTTCACCGATCCGACAAATATGGTTAAAACACTTGACGAATTGATGCCATAAAATGTAGTAACACGATCGTATATTTTTCTTTGATTGCCAACTTTGCCTTATTATCACAGTTGGGTCTGTTTTACGCAATATTTTGAGCAAGATTCGATAAAAACATTCGATGTTTGACAATTGCTTAAACCATCTCAGAACAAGAAGATCTCTGAAATAGACCACCATATGATAGATTGTAGTCTATGTAAAGATTCTACTAACTGTCATTTACGTCCGATAGCTTGCACCCGAGTAATGAGCAAAAGTTGTTTTTAAAATTTTACATTGATGAAATTGTGTCTTTTGTTACGTCATTTTTATGACCAGTATTGTAAGTATGCGGAAGTATGACGTCATTTTCAGAGTTATTACGTCATAAAAATTATAAAGTGACGTCACAATATGTGTATATTTTTCTGTTCTTTCGAATGATATCAAACTCAATAATTTCCGTAAAATGGTTAATTTTTTATTAAACAGTTCTCAGGACTTTTGAAATGCCCCTCGTACTTTCATTTCTGTATTCCCAGAAATAATTTATTTATTTTTTACAGCCACAAAGGATGCAAACGAGAAAGATAAAGAAGGTTTCCTAAGATTAGTTTTACTTGGTAAGACAGGTGTTGGAAAGAGCACTACTGGGAATACAATTTTGGGAAAACAGCTTTTCCCATCTTCATCTTCTTCGTCCTCTACAAACGACGAATGTTCGACAAAAAGCGTATATAGGTTTAACAGAAAAATCCAGATCATCGACACTCCAGGCCTCTTTGATACATCTTTAAAAAACGAGACTGTCCAGAATGAAATTGTCAAATGTATTACCATGTCCTCACCTGGTCCACATGCATTTATTCTTGTTCTCAATATTGCTCGCTTCACAAAAGAGGAAGAAGAATCATTTCTGGCATTTGTGAAGCTATTTGGGGATCCAGTATATGAGTATTTTATCATTCTTTTCACAAGAAAAGATGACTTAGAGTTTGAGAAAAATCCTTGATGATTTTATATCGACTGCTCCTGCAACCTTAAATTACTCATTGGAAATTGTGGTCACAGATGTGTTGCTTTTAATAATAGGGAAACTGATATTGAAAATGTCAATGAACAAGTGAATGTCCTTCTTCAACTTATTGATGATAACATATCCAAAAATCGGTGAAATATTACACTGATGAAATGTTTCAAGAAGCTGAACGACATATGAAGGTCTTAGAAGAGGAAATCAAACAGAAGTTAGAGAAAATAAGACAAGAACAATATGAGATCTATAAAAAAGAAATAGGTGAAAAATTCGTGGAAAAAGAAAACAAAATGAAATCGCAATTAACTGAAATAGAGAATAAAATTTGTCTCACAAGAAGCAATATTCAGGAGAGGGAGCAACAAATTAACGATGTTTTAAACAAACTTTATGAGGAGAAGGCTGCAATAGAGGCTTATTTAGAAAAAATATCAAAGAACAGAAATAAAGAAATAAAAGAATTACAAGAGAAATCTTAAAAGCAAGAAAGAAAGGAAAATAACGACTTGCGGGAAGAAGCTGTTAACGTTATCTCCTCAGAGAAGACAAAGAGTAATGGATTTCAGAAAGTAAAGGATTTCTTTCAACAAGTATCAGGATATGTTCACAGTTTGAAATCCGAGAGCACTGGGTCATCCTAAAGATGATAACGTTCTTCTTTAACATTTAATCTTAGAAATATTAAGCCTGTTTGAATCCTACTTTCCATGGTTTCACTGCTTCACTTTTATGTTATAAATCTTTTATTTTGATTTGAACAGTAATTAAATGATGTTATCTTTACCATATTTCTTAGAATAAACTCATTTTGTGTTTCTTTTTCTCGGTTTATGCTAAATAAAACCACAGGAAGAAAACGGCTTTTCACTGAAAATTTTAGGATGGCTATTATTGACTTTTCAGTGGTCATTCAATCACTAAATGGCACATAAAGGGTGTCCAAAAACATATTTTACACTTTTAAACCGTTATAAAAATGTTCAAGGTACATTAATGAAATTTAAATAATATATTAAAATTGTTATGATTTTTTTGTCAAGCATACATTTGTCAAAGTTTTCTTATTAATCATTACCATTTTTTTCTATAAAATTACACATGTCATTTAACAGCATGTTTCAAATGACGTCCCCTTTTGAATAAACATTGTATGAACATGATTTCTGAAGTTTTTTTTCAACCAAACTTTAAATGTAAAATTTTAACAGTTAAGAGGTTTTTCCACATTAAAATTGGGTTTCATGAAGGAACAGAATTTAAGATGCTCTTTGACGAAATCGTTAAAATGTAAGTAGACTTCATCGGAAAACTATGTATCTGTAAATTTTAGAGTGGGTCAAATTTTAGATCCAATGTGTAAACTCTAATCTACCTCGAATCAACCTCTAATTTCTGTCTCTTTCAAATGCTGCATTGCACTTATCTTGTAAGGAATCAAATTTAAATCAAATATTAGTATTTTATGAATACTAGATTTACCCAAGATGCTATTGTTAATGCCGGGGCCCTCTAATGGTTTTTGTAAAGTAACAAAAACTCTATCAATGGTACTGATGTCCTTTTTAGTACGAGCACTCCATGGTCCTCTAGTACCTTATGTGTTGTGTATGGTGCCTTTACCTTCACAACCTATACATTAGTATTCTGTTGAGCATTTTCATCACAGGATGTTGTTTTCTCATGGTTCTAATGACTAAAGTAGCAAATTTAGACCTAAAGTAGAGTTTTACAATTTCTTACAGCTGTTCACACGAAGGTTCCATATTAAAAGAAATAGTATGACGTCATTCGGACATTATAATTGCCTGACTTCTAAACAGAATTTCCCGAACGTTTGTCAGATAAATTGTATACTAATACACTAGATGTTGACAAAATGTCTTTGTGATAGCTTTTGGTTTGATAAAGTTATAGATAATTAGAAGTGTAACATATGTTTTGGGACACCCTGTATATTTCAACGATATTTTCAGTTATTTTTCAGCCAGAACTCAGGTACCTTTCAGTAACCATTTGGCAGACATTCAGTTGTCTTTTATGACCTTTTCGCTGACTTTCATTATCCTTTTTGAGACTTTTCCATCGCCTTTCAGCAACCCCTCAATCATAATTCACAGATGTTTACTAGACTTTTTACTATTTATCAGTGATTATTCCTGCTTTTGCTTAACGAAGCATAGTTATCTGCACAAATTGACATTGATATGATACCAAAAAATATTGTTATTTAAGAAAGGAAAATACGAGATCTTAGAAATTCTTAGGGAAAAACACAAGCAACCATTACAAATAAATACTAATTTACAGTTAGAGTTAGGGTTAGGGATTACGATGAGGGTATAGGCATTTTAATGTGATGCTGATGTGGGAATACTAATACGTAATTCTGCCCATATATCACGTGACTGTCAATCATTTTATTGTAAAAGTATCTGCTTATATGCTGGTTTTCTTTCGAACAGGATTTTTAGACACTATACATAGCTAGTGTCTTGTGCTGTCTGTGATGTAATAGTAATATTTCAGTTGTTACTTTTTAAACGACTTTATCTTTTTCCCCACAGTAAACTTGCGACTACGTACAAAAATACTTGGTTTTGAAGATGAATATTTTATTTACACGGTGTATGTAGCCAAAGTTGCCGTATATATCGCCATAATATTCATGCGGACAATGAAAGTCTATTTGTGAAATTAAATAATTATAATAAATTACTTGAAAATTAATAATACATGCATATTAAGTTTGTAGCAAAGTTTGCCGTATACATTGCCACAATATCCATGCAACTACTGTTCACGGTAGCTCAGTCGGTAGAGCGGAGGTCGTGAGTTCATATCTCGGCTGCGACTGACCTAGTCGTTAAAATGGGTAGCAAGTGTTCCTTCGCCATGCCCTCGGCACTTTGAAGTGAAAGTTGCGGGTCCTTCCGATGAGACCTTAAAAACCGAGGCCCCGTGTCAGCGGCAGGCGTTGGCACGATAAAGATCCCTCACTGCTCAATGGCCCTGAGTGCCAGTAAAGGTCAACATTTGAACCTTCACCTGAATACTGTGACGTCTCCATATGAGTGAAAAATTCTCGAGAGGGACGTTTAACAACATACAATCAATCCATGCAACTACCTGTAAGTTGATTTTTAAGTATTTTTAATCGCAGCACAGTTAAGGTGCGCAATGGAAATATCAACAAAATTTTGTATTTAAAAATGTATTCGTAATCGGGATGGCGATTATTTTTAGTACATTATTTATATCAGATAATTGTAATTATGATTAATAACTACATATCGAGGACGATTATATTTTATATTTAGACTAGTCACGTGATGCGACAGTCACGCGATTTTAGCACATTGACTTGAAGTATTGATGTTACATATAAATGTCACTAGTGCAAGGGCATAACCAAGATAAATTTCCAAGTTTAGTATATAAATATTTTCAACACGCATTATAGTTTTAAAAAGTGCTGCGATCCTGTCTAAATTCTGCAATTTAATTGTTAAAGTTATACTTGTATGACCGAATGCTATATTTTTTGCTGGACAGCGGCATGAAATATTGATATAATTAAATTGTTTTTAAGATTTCATCAGGATCGCAGCACTTTTCAGATACTTTAATAGTTCTATATTTGAAATGTAAAAGCTTACTTTGATCTATAGAGTGTATGCCCTTGCACTAGATCGATTTATTAAGACACCCACATTACCCTCCGATGTACTTGCATACAGATATACGGCAGTGTCAATTAAATACGTAAAGTACAGAAAATATATTAATAAAATAGTGAAGAAGATATTAAATTCAAGTTATTGCCCCATAGAATATATGTAAATAATATTTTATTCAATTAGAGAATACATATTTTGTTGAGAAAATATTACTTGATCTGTCTCTCACTGCATACAAACTACGTCACGTTGTAAGAAATGACGTCATATTGACAAGTGTATTGCGATCAGTGACTTGTTTATAACTTGATATGTGGGATTTAACTAACGACAAAACAACACACTGTAGTAAGTTTTTATGTAGTTTGATGATTTCATACTGGTTAAATTAGCAATAAACTCATTTTGTGGTATTTTAAAGAAATGTTGTATGACGTATATTATGTGTGATGTCATAGTCAAGTTTTCCCGTACAAATTAGGCTCCGCCTCCTTTTTGTAACCTTAACTGTGCTGCGATCATGATTAAATCCTGTTTATTTTGTTTGAATAATTTTTTCATCCGGACTGTTTCAAACTTAATACATTATCAAAGCTTACAAGAAATTTATTATGAATTTTAAATATACATTTAAGACATCGTTTAAATGATTGTTTGATTTTCCAGGCAGGGTTTCATTTTAATGCTCGAATTTAAGTGAGAGACAACGACACTTGCCCCCTTCCTTTCATTTCATCGGTCCATAAATAATCTAAACCGCAAGATTTTTCAAACAGTTATTGAACAAATTTATTCT